GGTGTTTTTAAGTGGGGACAAGACCACCCCCCCCCCCAGCCGGTCCTCGTGCCAGTGTAAACACACGGGTGCGCCAGGCCTCGGTCCCCATCCAGGCATGGAGAGGACTGTCCCTCCCTCCTTGGCCTCACCCTGTTGGCACTACTGAGTGGCACAGGTTTGTCCCTGTCTGCTCTGTGCTATTGATTGGGAGCGTCAGAGGGAAAGGTTTTCTGTTAAAGCAAGTAAGAACAGATTCTCTGCACCTTCAGGCCCGTGTAAAAGCTTCAACCTTGTTACTGCTCTGTAGGGCCCAGGGATGGTGCAGAGGGGCTGTGAGCAGGAGCAGGTAATTTCAGAGCAAGCTGCTGCAGCTGCCACGCTAAGGAGCGGCGAGGCACCAGCCCACCTCCAGTGCTCGTGCAGGGAGGCTGGTCCCAGAGAGCAGAACAGCAGCTGCAGGGATGGGCACCCGCTCCCTGCACCCAGCCAGCGCAGTACCTTTGCGGGGACTAGTTGCACCCATCCACTGCCATGATGCCTGGTTTGGGGCTGCCCCCTCTGCCACAAGGCATTTTTGGCCATAGTCCTCCAAACGCAGGACTTGCCCCCGCCTTCTTTGGGTGGGAGCAGGTAGGGGGAGCATGGGGGACAGATGTCCTGCCTGGGCCAGGTCTGTGTTCCCCTGGGAGAAAATGTCATAGAATCATTGAGGTTGGAAAAGCCCTCTAAGATCGTCGAGTCCAACCGTCGACCCAACACCCCCATGCCCACTAAACCACGTCCCTAAGCGCCTCATCTACACGTCTTTTAAATACTTCCAGGGATGGTGACTCAACCCGGGACCCAGGTAATGTGTCCCAGGTCAATGTCCCAGGGTAATGCTCAACCCGGGACCCAGGTAATGTGTCCCAGGGTAATGCGAAGTAAAAGCCAGGCAAAGCTAAACACCACACAGCTTCACGTCCAGCCAGTCTCTCTGGCACAGCCAGACAGGCACTAACTGCACGAGGCAAGGCATTTATTTTCTGCCGCTCCAGCAGGAAGGGGGTGAGATGCTGAGGGCTTGGAGTCCAGTTTGGAAGTAACTGCGTGACCTTTGATAAGGTGAGTTGGAAGAGAAAATGATGGAGATGCTGATGGGAAACCAGCCGCCTTCTGCTACCCTGTGCCTTCCTCTAGATGATGTGGCTTTGTCCCCAGCCTCGGGCTGGAGAATGGGATAAGAGCTGCGGATGCACTCAGCTTGCTCCAATTCCTCGGGCGCCCGGCTAGAGTTCATTCTTGCAGGAACCTGGGAAGATGAGAAAAAAACAAAAAGCAATTCAGCAACGTTGTTAGCCTGGGTTTGGTTTCTCTTTCCCCAAGAAGAATGAGGTTGACCTCAACCTCTGTGAATGTCACCCACACTTGCTGCTTTCCCTTTGCCAAACACCCCCAGGCTGGTTCTGTCCTGCCACATTTGGGAGCGTCGGTCTCGCCTCTCTGGAATGCCGCAGTCCTTGCCAGCCTCGCCCGGGCCTGGGAAGTTCTGTGCAAAGTGTCCCAAGGTGGGGGACGTGGAAAGCCAGTGACAATAATTCTGGCTGCCCCAGGACGGGAGGCTGGGACCAGCCTGTCCCCACCGCAGACACAGCTGGTGGCTCTGTGTGACAGTAATTGGAAGCAGGTGTTGCTGGTCACCAAAGGGCCCAGGGAGCTCTGTGGGCTGGGGAAGGGACCGCACGAGGTGGCTGCTGCCCAGCCACGTGCAGTTGCGAGTCTGTCGTGCTGCTAACTGGCTGCGTCCCAGCCGCGTGTTGACAGTCTGTGCTGAATTGGGGGTAATTCAGACTTAGAGGTGCTAAAATGGTTATGGCTTAAAGAGATCTGACCTTGTGGTGGTTTAAAGAAGAGAAAATGTTTTTTAGTCCTTACGCACATTCCCACTGAGCAGATAATTGGAGAGTGCAGTTGTATCTTAGCATTCAGTTGTGAAATGCTTCGCAAGGCACAGAAAATGGATGGCTACTTAACTCTTCGTGGGATGCCCTGCAAGCCCCGGTACTTGCTGGAGTACAAAAGGACAGTCTTGTGTCCTCCAGGGACTTTCAAGACCATGAGAGGGACAAAAACAAGTTTTGCTTGCTAGAACAGGCTTGGCAGAAGTTAATTTCAGGACTTTGGAGTCATCGCTTGGAATAAATCCATGTTACCTTGTGATACTGCTCACATTCCTCAGTGCTGTCACTAATAATATGTACAGAGCAATACTAGGAAGCTTGGTCTGCTGGAACACTCAGTGGTTCTGATGATTACCCCTTTCTGAGATTTTTTTAAGTGCCTATTTGCAGCTACTTAGTCTTCAAACAAGCTCTTTGAAGTCTTTCGTATCTGAGCCATTACTGCATGCAGTGAACTGGGACTGGATATGCCCTGAACAGTTTCCCCTTAAGCCTTTCCAAGCACCCTCACCCCTCTGCCATGAGCACCAGGCTGCAGCTGTACACCAGCTCCTGAGCTGGCCCAGCCATGCCTAGTTTCTGGACGTGTTTGACTGGCGTTATTTAACGGGAAAACGAGCTGCAAAGAGCTGCCTATCAAAAATAGTGTTCATATGGTTTGTGCTCTACTCTTGAGTCAAGCTGCAGTGCTCCAGGGAGAGCGTCCCACACACCTCAGGGACCCGAGGGGATGCTGCCCCACTCTGCAGTGCCGCGGGGGAGCACGCCAGGCAGGACCCCCCGCCTTCAGCCATTTCACACATGACAGCTCTCACCAGTGTCTCTTCTTCAGAGTTTGTTACTTAGGAGACCCTCTCTGGTCCACTGCTTGGCAAAGGACTGGTCTGCAGACTTCAAAAAGAAATGCCTAAAACTTCCCAGGCTCGTAAATCTGCCAGCTTCTGCACGCTCCCTAAACTCTCCTGATTGACTTTTTGGACTGTTAATTTCCTAAGAGCTGGGGTTTCTTTTCTAAGGCCTAAGTTATAACAGTACAGGAAGGGAACACATCTGTCGAGGGTGCTGATTGTGAGACATGACCCACTGCTCATAGTGGGCTCCCTCTGCTTCTGCCCCAGAGCCACGTTTCTGTGTGCTGATCTTATGATTTTTGGCTGCTACAAGGCCAGTCAGATGGTGCAGCCATAGAAACAGCTTTGAAATGAAGCTAATGGGCTGTTTGTGTTCATCTTTTATTAATTACAGACTGCTGAGCTCGAGGGAGATATAGATTAATAGTGGCATATGTGTTACTGATCTCGCTGGCCTGCATCTGCTCACCGTGGCCAGTATGGGTGGAGGGAAATACTTCAGCCCTGCTTTTTCCAGGCACTTACACGTCTCTAGCCGCTCCTCGAGGAAGGAGATCTGCTCGCTCAGGGAGTCGATTCTGTCCAGTTGCTGGAGGGAGTGGGACAGCCGGCTGATGGGGTCTGCGCCAACATCCTCCGGCGCAGATGGCATGAGGTTGTGGAAGGGGGCCAGCACCAACTGGAGTTTCTGCAGGGAGAAGGGGGGCCATGAGCATGTCCTCCCCAGCCACGAGGACCACCCGGCGGGATGTAGCACGTCGCCTGCTGGGGTGCAACCCCACTGGGGCGGCACGCCGGCCGGCTCACGGGGCTTCAGTTGCAAAGGGCCGCCGGGCTGGAAGAGCTGCTGCGTGGGCGCTGCCGGCAGTGTGGAGCACAGCTGGGATCGCTGCGGCACGAGGCCAGCATGACGTTAAGAATAGAGCCAGGGCAGAGGGAAACCCTGGCTGTGCACAACCTGGGGTGGGAGCTGGCTGAGGGCGGCCTCAAGCTGCAACAGGGCAGTGAGGGCAGGGCGGAGGTGTGTGCTGGAAGCTCACCTGCTCCAGCGCTTCCACTCTGCTCTTCAGGTCTTTCATCTCTTCCTTCATTTCACTGGGGGGACCTGAAAAAGTGACCAAGAAAAGGTCATTGCCCGAGGTGAAGTGGAAGGTGCTGGGGAGAGACATTGCTGCAGGGCTCAGGCCAAGCTCTGCTGCTTTCCACTCCCCTCCTAGTGAGCCCCCGGGGTCTGCCCCGCTGGGACCAGCCCCTGGAGCATCAGTCGGATCCAACACCTGCTGCAGGCACTGGCAACTTGTCCCGCTGCTAATGCGCACGAGCGTCTCCTTGCTGCTGGAGGACCTGCAACAAAGCGGGGAATTTTTCAGGCAGTGGGGTGATACTTAAAGGATAAGATGTCTGGCAGAGCCTGGCCTTTCGTGCCTGTTTTATCAGATTAGTTGCCATCCGGGTCTGCCCTGTCCCACGGTGGGCACAAAGGATCGTCCCTGCTGAGGGCCCTGGACACAGGATAAGGGCAGGTGGCTTGCAGGGCACATGCAGACGGTGCCCTGCTCTCCCAGGCGTTTCCCACGTGATGCCCGTGCTGGCCACAGCGCATTATTACTCACGGTACGAGTTTGAAGTGTCACAGCGCGTACCAAAAGTAATAATGGACCGTCACCAGCGGTGCCTGCCACTCCTCATGGCTCCGGACTTGCCTTGTGGGAAGGACGATGATGATGATGGAGAGAACAGCTGCATCCCGGCCACCGCACACCACGGATGGGCTCTGTCACCCTTGCAGATGGAGCAGTGGCTGGATTTGTGCACAGGGGAGGTTGGTTGGGTCGTAGAGGGACTCCCGGGTCACTGGGAATAAAGCTGAGGGGTTCTGGCTGTCCCCTCTCCTGCCTTTTGCCAGTCCTGCTCCAGCCACCCTGTGATGCTGAGTGTTAATCCCAGCTTTTGCTGAAGGCCCCGAGCAGCCGGGGCTGTCCTGCAACAGGGGACAGGTTACCTGCTTGGCTGAAGGTTTCTGGCTCGGGGGCTGGCACCAGGGGCTGGCACGCCTTGTCATCAGCAGCGAGGCTGAAGCCGTCCCGGCAGGCGCAGCGGTAGCTCCCGGCCGTGTTGATGCAGAGCTGACCGCACCCGTGGCTCTGGCCGGCACACTCGTCCACGTCTGAAACCACAGGTACGGCTCAGTGAGGACAGGGGTGGTGAGGAGGTGCTTACCGGGGGGCGAGGGGCGTGGACGGCTCAGCCCCGCTAGCAGGGGTCCTGCTCCCCTCGCTAGAGCCGCATGGGCTCACACAGGGTGAGGGTGAGATGGGACCCCAGACCCACAGGGTGAGGGTGAGATGGGACCCCAGACCGAGCTGGTGTTTGTGCTGGGCAAAGCTCTAGGTGCTCTCAGCACTGCAGGGTGTGAGCACAAGACCCGCCAGCACCTGGGACCGCCTTTCCTCTTGCACCAGGCTGGAGTAAACCTGAGCTAACCCTGAGGGGGATCTGGCCTCCTCCCCTCCGCCCGTTCCCCCCACAAAAGAGCCAGAAACAAAAGCTGTGGTCAGAAATGTTCCAGCTCTGGCCAGGCGGGCGCAGGCTCTCATCCTGGATTTATGGCCGGGGTTTTGGTTCCAGCCAGCCGTGGCGAGAAGCTATCAGCCTTTCAAGTATGTACAAAACCCAGTAACCTCTCCTCACACGGGGGAGTTATTAAAGCTGTTCCCACAAAGCAAAATGAGCTGAACTGCTTCCCACGCCCGGGCGAATCTGTTTTAGGCAGTGGGAAAATCCTTTCCCCTCTGCGCTGGAGCTGTCAGCGATGTGCTCAGCCCTGCCTGGCCCAGCATGGGTCAATGCCACATGCTCCTCCTCTGCCTTACGGGAGGGTGGAAAGCCGGGAAATGCTGTGGCAGGGATTTGTACCACGCTGCTGTGCTGGGATCTGCAGAGCACTGCTGCCCTCCACGCTGCCCGATTTCTCTGCACTCTGGTGAGGAGCATCGGGCTGCTGTCATGCTGGAGAGGAGCTCAGTGCCTGGAGATCGCCAGGCTTTCCCTCCACCCCCAGATATTTTTGGTTTACAGATTTAATCTCTACAGTAAATGGGCGTCTTACTTTACAGCAAGAGTTTACAAAGCTTGGGAGATACACAATCTCTGGCTGACACCACAAGTGTAACAGTTGCTCTGCAGAAAGCCTCTTGCTGGCTGTACAGTCATGGCAGAGTATAGCCTCTGCTCATGCTGATCCAGCGTGGAGCAGCAGCGGAGAGAAAATGTGGATGCCAGGGCTGCACTCAAGGGCTGAGAGCACCGACGCAGCCAAAGGGAGGTCAGAGCTCCCCTGGGAGCCAAGCTTCCCGTCCTTTCCTGGCCAGACCATCAGGCATCACTGCCCTGGAGCAACACGTGTAGGGGTGGTGGGTGGGTGTGTGGAGGGGTAACACCCTGGTTCCCCTCTGTGGGCTGAGTAGCGCCAGGCATGTGCCAAGGCTTGGTGAGGAGCCACGGTGCTGCTGCCCGTCTGCCACCAAGGGGTCGGTCTGTGGGCAGAGGACCGCCAGAGCCCCAGGGCAGCCCCACTGCTCCCCGGAGAAGCTCTCCCGGCAGCGGCGGGGCAGGCCCGACACAGGGAGCCCGGAGGGGAGCGGCGCGGCCGGTACCTGTCTGGCAGGCTCGCCCCGTCCAGCCGGGCAGGCAGGCGCATCTGCCGGGGAAGGCGCACCTCCCGCCGTTCTGGCATGGCACCCAGCAGAGAGCTATGGGACCAAACACAAGCACAGCATCACTGGGCAGCTCCGGGGGTCCCGAGCTCCCTCCCCTGCTGCTGTGGGTGCATGTACAGACCCAGTGCACATGCAGACCCACACACCAGCACCAGCCCAGGGCTGGGATGCTCTGCACCAGCCCCGGAGCAGTGGGGTTAAGCTGACTGGGTTGCACAGGGCACAGGACGGGTAGGATGAACAGGACCTTGGTTTTGCAGCCTGGAAAGAGGCCGAGACACCTGCAGCCAGCACAGCCGGCAGGGAGGAGGGCCGATGGGCGGCAGCAGGCCCTGGGAAGCCCCTGGTGCTGCGCTCTGAGCTCATCTGGGGACAGGCTAGCTGATGATGTTTTGCATTTGTTTTGTGCTGTACATCGCGATTGCCTCCTGAAAGCATTTCTCTTCCATTACTGTTGATTTATATGGAAAGGACTTACTCATTTTATTTATCCTCTGGTAACTATAAAGTTAATAGGCAATCCCAAAGGAAAAAGGCCTGCAAGGCAGCAGAGAAAGGCTGGGAATTAATCAGAAATTGAACTGCATTTGGTTGTGATGCTGAAAATTTAAATGCTTTCCTACAGGGAGAATCTGCCTGACAGACAGAGTGCCAGTAAATGAGAGAGCTGGCTGCCGGGCCCTCAACCAGGGACCTGAGCTGGGGTCTGGGGGAAGGGTGAGCGCTGGCACCGGGGTGGCACAGCAGCCTCTTACCTCTGTTGCAGCTCAGCGTGTGGCTGTTAGCTCTGCTCCAGCCGGGACAGCACGAGGCCGCGAGCTGGGGCAGCTGCCTGTACGCCTGCCGGTAGGCAACCCTGTAGATGGTCCTGCAATACAAAGATGGGGCTGAGCCGGGTGACTGAGAATCCGCCCCAAGTCCCCCATCCCGCTCCCGTGCCTGTGGGTCAGACCCCCTTCACTGGCACCCACTGCCCACGGGCTGGGAGCCCCTTCCCCACGGATCAAGGCAGGACTCCCCCCTTCCGCAGCCCCTGCTGGTCGCTGCCTCGCTGGGACGGGTCCGGCTCCCTCGCAGGGAGCAGGTCCGCGTTGCGGGCAGCTGCCCTCACCTGTAGGTGCTGCAGAGGCGGTGGCCCTGGCAGGTGGTGAGGTAGGGCTGGTAGACGGGCTGGACGTGGGACTCGGAGTAGGTGGCCACCCGGTTCCGCGGCGCCGCGGCACAGACTCTGCGGCTGCGGAGAGGGGAGTAGGTCAGACACTGGCTAAAACCCAACCCACCGCGTCTCCCTTCAGGGCAAAGGGGCTCCACCGATTTACACCAGCCCAAGACATGGCCTGACAGTCCCTCTTCACAGAGGGCTATTGAAATGGCAGCGGCTAATTGCCTGAGTGACCCGGGAGGTTACTTCAAGTTGTTTCGGGGCAGCGACACAAAGCTTGAGCGCTGCGGGCTGCATGGGCTCTTCCTCCCCAGCCCCTGCGCGAAAGCACTGATGCCTCCTCGTGCACTCACCCCGGCAGTCCCTCCGTCTCGGGAGAGCAGTCGGGGCCCAGATTTAGGGGGAATTTACTCAAAGCAGTTCTCCTTCCATTCATTGCCTCCCTTCCCTTAAAATCACTCACTTTCTGGGTGGATTTTTCCTTTCTGAGACTTCTGCACTCCTGAAACGGATGCCCCTGTCGTCACCAAGAAGCTAATGATTTCACAGGAAGGGTCGGGCTCACCGCAAAAAGGCACAGGCCAGAGGAAAGTCACCCTCCAGTCTTCCTAAGATAACTGCAATCCAGTCAAAAACTTTCCCAAGGTTAACAGCCAAAGTGGTCTTGGTTAAAAATTCTTTTTTTCAACGTTTTCCAGCCCAAGCAGGTCAGTCCCACAGAGGAACTCACCTACTTCTCTCAGCCTCCCAGCCCAATTAGAAACTAGAATAAAAAGCCTGAGAATTAGCATGGACATCAGATGGCTTCCATTAACTCCAGAAAACTCCTTTCAGCCTCACTGATTAATGCTATAGAAGACGCAATTTTTAAATGGCAATTGTTTGCTTTGCAAAACTTAGAATAAAGCTATAGCTGCAGCCTGTGCGTGCGAGTGAGGAATTCAAGCCTGTGGTTTTAGTCACGACCAGAATGCGAAAGGTTTAACGCTAGAGGAGAGTATTTCAATGTAAAAACAAACTTTGTAGAAAATGTGAGCTGTATCTGGGGGGTGGGCGTTGAGCTCGAGCTCCTTTTGGCTGGGGAAGAAACTGGGGCACCGAGCTCTGGGCTTGCTCTGACCCAGCGGGAGCTGAGCTGTGCCTGCCCAGGCCGTGCTGGGATCCAGGGCGCCATGTCGGGCCCGTTTCCCGGAAAGGGAAGGGGAGTTGCTGGAGCTGCCACTCCCGGGCTTGAGGGACCGTGACCGCAGCCGCCGCAGCATCCCAGGGAGCACAGGGCACGGCAAGCAACAACCTGCCGGGGCTTTCTACACCTGTGTCCCCTGGACGGTGCATCCTCTCAGAGCTGGGAGGCTGCATCCTCCTTTGATGGCTCGATTGGCATGATAAGAAGATTGCACGCATATTTTTGCACAAGGATGTGCTTGAAAGAGACAATAATAATTCATGAACAGCTCAGGGCCTGATTAGCTTTTGACTCTCCCGGACAAAAAGCCCAGAGTGTCTTTGTGTCCCCTGCGTGGAGCTAAATGGAGCTGGGGCATTTTCTCTGAGAGGCTTTTTCGCTTCAGTGACAAAGTAAACAAACACCAGCGAAGGGCTGCCGAGCCCCGGCTGCCCCAGGACTCAGCTCAGCCTTTTCCCACCTCCTCACCAGCCCGGCGAGCTGCTTAGGCACGTGCAGCCAGCTGGCTGAACAGGGCTCTTCATCACCGGGAGGGGATGCGACTCGCCGTGGCATGCGACAGTGCGCACCTGGGAGATACAGACAAAAAGGGGACTTACCCTGCCCAGGCAAAGCTGTCCGTGCTAGTCACACTGAGGATGAAGAGGAGTCCCGAGAGGAGGCAGCCAATGCGGTGCATGTCCTGCCCCTCCTGCGGCGCCCTGGGCTGTGCGGCAACGACCGGGTCTCGCTCTTTGGTGGGAAGCGCTGGCTCCTACCGCATGTCTCACCCTTCAGCGGGGAACCCTGCAACCAAGAGAAGAGCGGTGTGAACGTGTGGTGGCCGTACCCAGCCGGTGACATCTGACGGAGCCGTGGGGACAGGGCCAGCCCCCGCTCCCAGGGTCAGAGGGACGGCACTGGGTGTGCACAGACCCTCCAAGGGCAGCACACAGGGCTGGGGCAGGAGCACACTTGCTGGCAACAGAGCACTGTGACAAGCCAAAGCACGGGGGAAGAGGGGACACGAGGGACCCGTGAACCCCTGGCAAGGTGGGAGCTCCTCCGTGCGCAAACCCACTTTGCCCCACTCAAGTCACTGGTGCAGCAGTGATTTACCCCGGGGTGACGCCTGGCCCGGCACGCAGGAGATGCTCTCACGGCACCGGGGGTCGCGCAGTCGCTTGTTGAGTGGCAGGGAAGGGACCTGCGTCGCATGAAATACGCTGCCAGTTCCAGACAGCGAGGGCAAAACAATGGCCCGTAATTTCTTAATCCATACAGCATTGTAAAGCTGCCTTTTCCCACCACATAACACACTGAAATCTGATCTTCTTCTCTTTAAAATACAAGTTCTTGCCAGAGAAAAGTGCTGTAAGGGCCATATGTACCGTCTGCGGAGTCAGTACTAACCAAGTCGCAAATAAAGAGGCTTTGATTTTCTAGCACAGGACAAATATGAAACAAGGCTGAAGAAGGTCAATAACAATATCTAATTTAAACAATACCTGATTTAAACAAAACAGTTGGCCTCCAGCTGGCAGCAGTTCAAGGAGGAAGAAATAAAGAAACCCACCTTAAATATATGCCCATTAAAGAAAGAATCAGTCTTTCCGATTAAACCTTGAGAAAGGAGTGACTTTATAGGAAGGCAAGACAACATGAAACCTCCTTCTGAAACTGCAAATATGGTGAGCTGCAAATAAACTTTCTAAAATCCCCAAGTGATGTGGGATTGGGGATTGCAGGTTCATCCCCAAACTCCTTCGGGACAATTCCTAACTCCGAGACAAGTTGTTGGGGATAACTGGCATAATCATCCCGAATCTATAGACCCTGCAGGTCTCAAAGCCCTTCTCCAAGGCACTCAGTATCATCTTTTCCTACGTGCAGGTGAAGAAACTGAGGCACGGAGAGATGCAGACCCACATCTGGAGATAAACCAGCCTGGTACCTTCCTGCCCCTTAATATCAAATGTCTTGTGCATGTTTCCATGCAGTGATAACGCTGAGCGAGGCAGACGGCTGGCTGAGCAGCCCCTTCCCCTCCTCACCCAGGCAGGGACTCATCTCAGTCCATAAGCAGGGCACACGGCTCTGCCTGGCTGAGCAACAGGGAGGTGTCACCTCACAGCAAATCGACTGTATCGCTATAAAACGCAATCGGGACCTCACTCAGTCCCTGAATTCAGCGGTACCGGGCAAGCTGAGGGTCTGGCTCCAGGACAGGGAGGGATGGCAACGTGCCCACCTTGTTCCTATAGCCATACGAGCTATTCCCATGGAGCTGCAGCCAGTGGGGAACTGCAGATGCCCGGGCCCATCTTAATCTCCGTACAAGCCCAGCTTTGAGGATGTAAGGAGGATTTTGGTGATGTAAAGACTGTAGTCCTCCATTCTCCTCCAAACATAGCGATAAATTTCATCTTCTAATGATTACTATGTGCTATCTCCACCAGCAGGAAATCAAATCTTGGCTGACATGCAGGAAAGTTTTAAAAAAATAGTGAAGAAACCTTCTTTCTCCCCAGTCCTTCTGGAGACATCCCAGGGACACTAGCGTACAGAGACGTACTAACTCCCTGCCGCTCAGCCAGCCGGCTTTTCCCAGGGCTATACTGGGACACATATGTTCCTTACAACCACAGATCCCCAGATTAGCGGTGCTTCTCCAGAAGTGTGTAAGTCAAACTCTGTCAACCATCTCCGTCCTCCCACAGGATTCCCGTGACTGCTGTGGGAGCTTTCCCTGCGGGGAAGGCAAGAAATGCAGGGCACAAGCCTAAAATACAGGCGGTTTGTTTTTTCGCTTTGAAATGGAGCAGCATTGCCCTACCTCAAGTGGTCAGAGTATCCCTCTGGGTCATAAAATTATGGTTGCTTCATACCAGAAAAAGTTTCAAAAGTGGAAAATAGGATAGTCTGTACTTGTCTTTTTTATGAATTTATGAAAATCAGCCTCTTTAAAGCCACCGAAGATCCTCCAACCTGTTGCCACTACCTATTCTAATACTCCTCTTTTAAAGCACATAACTCACGGCAAATCTTTTCATGATTAAGAAAAAAAAAAAAGGTTTTTTTTGTCACTGCCTTTCTAGTCTCTCAGATGAAGGGGTGAAGCCCCATGGTCTGGCAACTGAAACTATGTGGGTGCATCTGAGCTTCTGCTGTTTCAGGGGGCAGCAAAGTCTCCTCGGCCAGCCATGTGCTCCTGTGAGTCCGGGGGTCCCTCTCCCACCAGCCAGAAATGTTCCCGTAACCCTCCTAAGTCTGCTCTTGCCTAACCCGCCGCAGCAACCAACGGGAAAATACAACCCACCGTGTGGGTGAGCAGTGCTTTGTCCAGCTCTGCCCATGAAACCAAGGCTAAAACTCCAGCTGATGGCAGCAGTAGGAATCAGGGTCTGTCTGCAAAGTGGTGCAAGAGAATCCAGTGCCTCAAGAGGATGCAATTACCCTCACGAGAACGCAACAGCTGCACTTTTTCAAACAGCCTGGCCTGGTTCTGCAGGTGAAACCGCTGCTCCCAACTGCGCGCTGGACCTGGTCTGTGCCCTTAGAGCCAAACCCTGCTGGAGAGGGTCAGCAGCAGCAGCAGGGAGATGGGTTTTCCCTTACAAACACCTCCAGCTGTTCTCTGCTTAGGCTGGGATGCAGGCACCGCGGAGCACAGGCGCAGGGATGCGGGCGCGATGGAGCAGGGCACGGGGACGTGGGCACGACGGAGCAGGGCGCAGGGAGGGGGACACCACGGAGCAGGCTGCGGGGGTACGGCACCGCGCAGCAGGGCGCAGGGACACGGGCACGGCGGAGCAGGGCGCAGGGACACGGGTACCGCGGCGCCC